CCCATCGGACTATAATATGGTCCACGAATTTCTGTTTGTCCCGTTTTTCTGGATTTAGATTCCCTTGCCGGGTTTAATAAAAATGGAAAGGATCAACTATGGTGTTTATTTTGAATGGGGTAATTAACAAATTTGCGAGATGAAAATTTGATAGTTGAATAAGATTGAGCGAAGCGATTTTTCACGGACTTTGTGAGAAACGACATTATAGCGTTTTGTTACAAAGGAAGAAACCAACCTTTCGTAAAAATTTAATTATTTGCAACGTTTAAGTGCGCTTTTAGTGTGAGAATATAATCACGTGAGAGACTCGATGTGACGTATAAAATTTAACCAATTATAATTTAATTTATTTATTCTTTTTTATTACAAAAATTTAGCTAAATATAGTTATTGCTATAATATATAGAAAAACAAAAAGCTATAGAATATACAAAAATGAAATATATAATTTTGAATGAAATATTTCGCAAACTTCTAGGGGAAAGGATTTTCTTTCAATCCAAGATCCTGTTTTTTTATTTATAAAATGAGATTATAGGAATATATAAAAGATAATTATTATTTTTAAAAAAAAATAACGTCTAAAACTTACGGCAATTTCGATCCGTCGTGTTAGGTTAAAGTTTACGACATGACCCTTTCTCTATTATCAATTATATCTTGAAAGCTTTCTCGTTCAGCATGAAGCAAACGGTAAACAGATTGATAGAACCAGGAGCCATTCCAGAAACTTTAGCGATATTGTCAATAGGGATCCCCATGAGAAATTTCAGATGCATAATGAATACAAGCAAGCAGCGATGGTATTTGATTTCTACCAGAAAGTAAACCTAAATCATCGGTTCGCTTGCTTAATCTTGTGGCGGTGATTTGAAGATCTCTCGGTAAATTTAAACTCTGAGAAAATGTAATCATTAAATCTTCAGAAGTCATTTGACCAACATTCAATTCCAAATTTTGATATAATATTTTATAACATCTTGCAATATCTTTTATAGAAACTTGTGATGAAAAGCAAATTTCTCTAAAAGATCTCGCAACTTTTTTAACCTTACATGCGATAAAAATGCATGCGGAGAAAATTGCCAATTGATTTTTCCCACGCAATAATCTCTCCTCTATTGACCTTTTATATAATTGTTTTGTCGTGTCAGAAATTTCTTTTGTTAAATCCATTGAACCACACAATGCTTCTATTTCCGAGAATGCATGTTTTAATGTCATATCAAATTCACTAGTTGTTGCTTTAATATGTGTTTTAGTAAGACTTTTACGACCCTTTGATGAAATAATTGTATTCAAAGCTGAATCCTTCAATAATGGGTCTGCTGCTGCACCACCCGAGTATTAATCAAATTTGCTTGAGAATTTCTACATATTAAACGAATATTCAAATCTGGTCGAAATATTTTTGACGTAGAGTTATTATCCACAAAAGGTTTTATTTTTGGAAACGAAGTGCGAAACATTATTATTTTTTTTAAAAAAAAAGAAAAAAAAAAAAATGAGAGAGAATGATTGAAATTGTTCATCAACTGTGTGTTTGTGTGTGTGTGTTCTTTTTATACATCACTTTTTATTAAATGACATAATTACCAAGCGCGTAAAAGAAGTAAATTATGTACTTTACGCAGCAAAAATTCGTGTAAATCATTACCAAAATTAATAGCGCTTTTTTGTTGATATAGTTTCCAGTCAGTTTTGTTTCTTAATATATTTACAAAAATTTGAAGTATTATATTCGATTGTATTTATTGATATTTCAAATTGTTTTATCCTCAAAAAAATATATTTCATTGTTATTAAACCTTTGTTTAAGATTTTTTTTTTTTTTTTTCGAAAAAGAATCTTTTAAGGAAATCTTATTATCTAATAACTCGTATTTACGTAAGAGATCGGGATGGGTACTAAATTTAATTTTAATTTTTTTTATAATTATTAAAAAAAAATAAATTTATTATTGTCAATATTGGATTTTGTGTAATTTGTTTAATTCTTTTAATCGCACAATTTTGAAATCAAATTTTTAAATTCATTTAGCTGACAATATAGAAAAAAAATATAATTCACATAAAAATTATCGCATGATTTCTTCAAACTTGTCAACTATCCTTGTCGGCAACGAGAATTTATTTACTGGAGGGTGAACATTTTTCAAAAGTAATTTATCATTTAATTCATTTCACTCAAAGATACTGTAGTTAAATTTCTCGTAAATTACGTCATTTAACTTCAATTATTTTTATTAATTCTAATTTGATATGGACAAATATAATATAGATATAGTCAAATATAATATAAATATAAAAGTAATCTATTCATTTCTATAATAATTATCTATTCTCTCTACCAAATTGCGCTCAAGAGTGAGCGTTGGAGCATACGACCATTTTTCCTGGTTGAGCCCCCAGAACCTCTCTTCTCAATTCTCATTTCAACAAGATCAACTCCCTCATCCTCGGTGCTATCCTCGCATGCAGCTGTAAGTTCTTCTTTCATTTGACCAGGACCGCCGAAAATATTGGTTTCAAGTTGCTCATCCATTGGATGAGCTTCGATAT